TCTCCCTTTTCTCCGGCGGTATTAGTCGCCCCTCTCCCATCAAGATTTGCAATGCCCGATATACGGGCGTTCGATGGAAATTCTGATCCGCAAGATCACTTGTATGAATTCAACGACCTAATAGAGCTTCACCAGGTTTCAAACTTGGCGAAGTGTCGTTGTTTGGCAGTAACTCTAACCTCTCATGCCAAATAGTGGTTCAATTTGCTCCCAGTAGGATTGATCAGCTCGTGGTCTCAGATAAGCACGACGTTCCTAAGACACTTCCAAGCAAACAAGAAGTTCTCAATGCCTTTGAGCTACCTTAGCAACATAAAGCAAGAGAGGGATGAATCCCTCCAGTCTTACATCGACCGATTCCACAAAGAGCTTCATAAGGTGGCTCATACTCCCGAAGAGTTTGTTCGGACTCTCATCATCGTGGGGGTTCACTCGCAGACCGACATGTGGAAAGAGCTACAGGCTGAGGATGATGTTTCCCTCGCTCGCTTCTACAACCTTGCAGAGAAATAGTTCTGTATTGAAAACTCCGTGGAAGCGCTCCACCGCCACGACCCTGGCACTTCAGGTAGTGCACTTGGTCGGGGGGGAAATAGAAGGGTTGATCACAGATGGGCTAATGACGATCAACGAAAAGGAAAGAAACCGCAGTTCGAGCCCAAGTAGTCTTATGCTCTGATTCCTCATCATGATCGTGACAGGAGTCAATATACCCTTTTAAATGCATCTGTCTCGACCATTCTTGACAAGTCAGAAGAGGCCAGTCTAGTCGGAGAGCTGGAGCCCATGAAAGGTCCTTCTTCATCCAGAAATAACAAAAAATATTGTCATTATCATCAGGACAATGGGCATCAGACTGATGAGTGTCGAGCTCTCAAGCAGGCAATTGAAAACCTCATTAAGCAGGGTCATTTCAAAAAGTACGTTGATGACTCTACTCCCGCAAGGGAGAAAAATCAAGAGGAACCAGGAAAGAAGCGTCGTGATCGCAAGGGTCTCTACAGCGTCGGAGTAATCTTCGGAGGGTCGCACCTCGCGGGAAATTCGCGAGGTGCCCAGGAAAGATATGCTCGTGCAGCCCATCACGACCCCATTAGTGTGATGAACACAACGCGGTGACCACCAAAGGTTCGTAAGAAGGAGGAAATTACCTTCTACGAAAAGGACATAGTCTGATTGCATCATCCCCACACTGACGCTTTCGTGATCAAGGCCCTAATAGGGCACTTCGACATCCATAGAATGTTGGTGGACAGCGGAAGTGCTGTGAACATCCTGTTCTAGGAAGCTTTCGAGAGAATGAATTTGGAAGAGGCCGACCTAAAGCCCACCTCGATCCTCCTATATGGTTTTACAAGGGACTACATGATCCCCAAAGGAACGATCTCGCTTCCAGTCAAGTTGGGTGACTCTGACGAGGTGACCAAAGTACTGAATTCATAGTAGTGGATTGCCCATCTGCTTTTAATGATATCCTGGTGCGACCTCTGCTGAGAAACTTTAAGGTGGTCACTTCGATATACCACCTCAAGATGAAGTTTCCCACCCCGACGGGGATAGGGGAAGTTAGCGGATCTCATCACGCATCTCGCGACTGTTACGTAAGGGTAGTGCAGATGGCATGCAAAGGGAAGGGCATCTTGCGTGGTATTCCCTGACAGGCAATGGCGATCAGCCGGATCGAACTGCAGCCGGATCGAACTGCAGCCTGACCCAGCCAAGGATAATATGGATCCTCGTATTCAGGAATACCCTTCCAGTGGGCCAGTTGAGGATCTGCTGAAGTATCGGTCAACCAGAGCGAGCCAAGCAGAGTGTTGAGGATTGGAAGCAATCTCAACCCCCAGCTCGCCACTGAACTGACCGGCTTCCTTAGAGAGAATATCGATGTTTTCACTTGGTCGCATGCAAATATGGTCGGGATCAGCCCGAATGTTATTTGCCATGCTTTGAACATCGACAGTGAAGCCGAGCCGGTTTGCCAGAAATGAAGAGCGATGGATCCGAAGCGATATGCTGCCTTGAAACTTGAGGTAGATAATCTCCTTTGGAATGGATCCATCTGAGAAGCGCTCTATCCAAGCTAGGTTGCCAACCCGATTCTAGTAAAGAACCCCAACGGCAAATGGCAAACCTGTGTTGACTTCACCGACCTCAACAAAGAATGCCCAAAAGATAGTTTTCCCCTGCCTAGGATTGACCAGCTCATGGATGCAACCTCTGGGCATGAGCTGCTGAGTTTTATGGACGTATACTCGGGATATAACAAATTTCAATGTATGCGTCAGACGAAGAGCATGCCTCCTTTGTAACAGATCGGGGACTGTATTGCTACAAGGTTATGCCTTTTGGCCTCAAGAACGCTGGCGCAACTTACCAGTGGCTGGTTAACCGAATGTTCTCCTAGCAGATCGGGAAATCGATGGAGGTTTATGTAAATGACATGCTGGTCAAGTCGCATGTCGCTTCTGATCACATAGCGCATCTCGTTGAGATGTTCGACATCCTCCGAAAATACAGAATGAAGCTAAACCCTCTCAAGTACTCATTCGGAGTATCCTCGGGAAAATTCTTAGGATACATGGTTAACTAGAGGGGAATATAGATCAACCCCGAGAAAATCCAAGCTCTCCTCGATATGGAAAGCCCGACCTCTAAAAAGCAGGTTATGAGCCTCAATGGGCGAATTGCGGCACTAAATCGCTTCATATCAAGAGCAACAGACCCTTGCTTGCCATTCTTCAACGTACTAAGGGCCAACAAGAAGTTCGAGTGGACTCCCGAATGCGAACAGGCATTCCAGTGCATCAAAGAGCACCTCGGAAAGCCACCTCTCCTGTCCAAACCTCTCCCGCAAGAGATCCTCCTCCTGTACCTGTCCGTGTCTTAGTTCGCAGTCAGTGCAGCTTTAGTTCGGGAAGAGAACAGGGTCCCATGGCCAGTGTATTACGCGAGCAAGCGTCTGTTGGATGCCAAGATACGGTATTTGAAAATGGAACGATTAGCTTATGCCCTACTGATCGCTTCCCGAAAGTTGCGACCTTACTTCCACGCCGATACGATCCATGTAATGACCAACTACCCACTTAGGCACGTCTGTTAAAATAGAAGGCATTTCATTAAATACGCCTGCAGCAAAAGCGCAACGGAAAAACATCTGAAGAGGTCTTTATGAAAAACACTCTTCATCTTATAAGTTGCGGAGCGACGTAACTCTTCAATCTTATCTCGTCAGTCGCGAAACGATGCGACCCCTCGACCTCAATGCACATCAGTTGCGAAACAACGTGATCTTTTGTTCTTAAAACTTGCTAAGTGTAATCAGGTCACGGAATTCAGTTCAGGTCGGCATCATCGTTATGGTACTGAATACGATCTAAAATCAAGTCGCTAACCTTATAGCGAAGCTCTTCTCAAGTCGCCTATGTTGAAATATGTTCTTGACCTCTTTACAAGCAGGTCGAGTCAACCATTATCTCTTCAAACGCATCAAGTCAAGGCATAATTATGTAGTTTCCAAGGTTCGATCCTCAAACCTTAAAAACTAGGGGACTTCTGTTATGCCTGAAAAAGTAGGGCTGACGTAGAGCCCAGTCAGCGTAAATGATCAGAGTCTAGGCAGATCCTACGATCGTTCAAACGCTTCCACATCGCATGTTGGCGTGAGCAGCTTGCTCCTGCCATTGTAGTGGGTGCGCGCCAGACTGACGAAAGACTGGAGGCCGTCCATGTGTCCAACCCCTGTACTAAACGAGGAAATCGCTCGAGTGGGTGTGTAACAGGATGCAAAGAAGGATTTGCACGGTATCTGCCCTATTTTTTGCGGATTCTGTAATCATTACTCTAATACATCCCACTATAAATAGAGAGCTCCTCTCCCGTTTGTGGGATTGGCTCAAATTCTCTCTATAATAGCTAAATTCTCTCTGTAATAGCTCATTCTCTCTTTTGTAATCATTTGCAAGTCAACTCGTTGAACGCGATCTGACCCTCCATATTAATTCAATATCAGTGGACGTAGGAGTTGCTTGCTTAAGCATCCCAACCATTTTAAAACATTGTTTCTTCATCTATTATTCATTTTCGCTACCCCCATTCGTGTGTATCTTCTAGGTCAGCTCAGCATTTCATACGTGTGTTTAGTTGGTGTCAAAATCACGTATCCACAGAGACATTTCTTTTGTACTGGGAAATATAGATATTAACGAAGGAAATGAACCCAAAATGCATTAAAAGGGAAAAAAGCTACCGCAAATAGGGATTAAAATAGTTTCATTAATGAGATCCTGTAAACTAATTATTATGTTCTTCTTCTTTTTCTTTTAATTTATTTTTTTCATTATTATTTCCAAAACTTGAGTATTTTTCAAAGAATTCTAGAAGACGCGTTAATTTTAATTAGAATATTTTTACGTTTTTTGGTTAAAGAACGTTTATACATGCATTTTTTTTTTTTTCTTGATTAATATATTTATATATACACCTGTTTTGAGGTGAGATAATTGTTATTTGTTTGGTCCCATGCTCTTAATATACAAAATCATTTTAAACGTCAAAACCAACCCATTTGTAAACTAAACGTGTAAATTCCCCTGAATTATTTGAAAAAATAAAAATAAAAAAAGATATCGCTAGAAAATGAACTATGGTTTTCATATATTTATTTTGACTGATAATTGGAAATTAATACAGCTTATTAAGAACAAATTAATATTCTAATCTTATTTTGTCGTAGTGTAAAACCTTTGAAACTTTACCTACGAATTGAAGAGTTGTTAATCTTTCAATAGTCTAAGCTTGTTTGAATATAAATTTAAATTTAAATTTAAAATTTAGTTTGATAATAATTCGTTCAATTATTATGTGTTTAGGATAATAATACATTTGTCAAAGAAAGGGACTAAAGTACTTCATGCAACATAAAAGAAAAAAATGTTTTAAGTCTTCAAGATATATTACTATATAAGCTTCGTGATTCAACATAGTATTCATTCATTTGTGGTCCATTTAATCTCTAAGAGTTGAGAATTTCCAAATTGAATTCATTTTGAGAGCTTTTAGTGAGAGTTGCCAAAATGGCCAAATTTTGGCCTCATTTGGTTTATTATGCCTTGGCATTATGTTTGGTAGCTACTAAAATTGTTGCTAGTAGCTACTCTCCACCACCACCTTATATCTATACCTCCCCACCACCACCGTCCTCGCCGCCACCTCCACACTCGCCTCCACCACCACCATCTCCTCCCCCACCATCGCCTCCACCTCCACATTCACCTCCACCACCGTCTCCACCGCCACCATCACCTCCTCCACCTCACAAATCTCCGCCACCACCCTCACCTCCACCACCTCATAAGTCTCCACCACCACCATCACCTCCTCCTCCCTATGTTTACAGCTCACCACCACCGCCTCATAAGTATCCATCACCATCACCATCACCATCACCATCACCATCACCGACACCGACACCAGCTCCTGCTCCCTATGTTCAAAGCTCACCACCACCACCCTCACCTCCTCCACCTCATAAGTCTCCACCTCCTCCCTATGTTCACAGCTCACCACCACCGCCTCCTTCATCACCACCACCACCATCACCTCCTCCACCTCACAAGTCTCCACCTCCACCATCACATCCTCCTCCCTACATTTATAGCTCACCACCACCACCACCACCATATTATTACTAAACAAGATCACTATTTATATAGACTATGAGGATGTCATCCAAAGTATGCATTTATTGATTTGTTTTTATCATTTTCTCTTTGATTTATTTTTTCCCTTCTTGCTTGTCATTATCTAACTATCATTTATACATTTCTTTTATAATTTTTTTTTTTTTTTTTATTGCATTGCAGGTTATAAGATAGGAAAAATAACATGAGCTGCGGAATTACAAATAATCGAAATTTTCTATAGGCCTTGAATGCAGATCCCTTTTCTTAAACAATAAGGCTAGCTCCATGTTGATGAATGTTGATGCTTTAAAGCGCTGGAGAACATTTCATAATTTTCTGTTGGAAACATTTTGAATACATGGAAAAATGTCTTTGAAATTGTAATTTTTATTACTTTAATAATATATAATCCGTATGAAAAATATATAATAAATTGCATTATTTTTATCAATCTGGATGGCAACATTTAATTCGGTTTTATTGTATTGAAAAATCTTTATTCATTCAAATAGTTACTTTATTCAAATCCATTGCTTGATAGTCAAACAAAAAATAAGATAAATTTTAAGTGCAATATGAACACTTTAAAGATACATAAATATTTGGTAATTAACAAATAATCGTTATAGTGTATTTGTAAAATATGTACTTTGAAATTAAATGTTCCAAGATATAAGACACACTGATACCAATCAAATACTTTAGTGGCAAGATAATTAGAACAATGAATTTGTAGAGATTTATACAAAATACAAAAAGATTTTTTTAAGTGGTTTGATTGCTCGTAATGTAATATTTACGTACACTATTATATTATTAAATGCGTTGAAATAGTAGTTTGATTTACAAGGAGTTTGTAATTGGTTTTTTGCAACTTATTCTCTCTCAAACATATTACAATTAAGTTTATATGTTACTAATTACACGATTGAGTTGAAGATTGACTCAAATTCAATAAAATGGGGAGTAGCATGATCTTTAGCCTCGATCATGAGATATATATCGCAAGATATCAACATGCCAAAAGGGGATTTATTTACTCTGGATTTCCTGTACAATACATTGAAACGTCTAATATTTATTATTCACTATATATATAACGCGTTTATCTTACTGGGTGAAGAAAACCATATCTCTATGACTCCTTTCATTGTTCTTATTTTCAGATTTGATTTATTCTGCTTAACTATATATTACTATATATGCAATTGAATGACCTCACATACTTTCATCAATTAAGAGCTTCAAAACCCCACCATGTATACATTTGTCCATCAATTTTCATTGTAGCATGTTTCAGGCCAAAATTAATATAATAAGGTAGATGTATTATTTTGAAAACAAAAATTAATATATAATTATTATGTTGTGCATTAATTTTGTAATATTACTCAATGAAAACTTGTATAATTCTGTAACTCTTCACAGGACAAGGCCTAACATGGAGAGATTCATGCATGCAAATGAAATTACAAATACAGAGAGAATTAATGGATTTAACCAAATAGATATTATCTATTTTAGGCTTAGGACTGTACGAGTTTGATTTTGAGTTTTACACAAAGTTAATTTCTTCCCTGAATTTGCTGCACTTACACCAAAAGGGAAAGACGTATTAACTTAACCAGAACTTAAATAAATGCAAGTTGGTCATTGTGGTTGTCATTTTTGATGTGATGTGATCCTTATTACTAGCATAATAGTATGGATCGTGCATGCATGTGTAATATTACCCTATTTATTTATCAAGAACATCATGTTTCAGGCATTCCAACTTTGGTTAATATATTTTCAATTATTTGTCCACATTAAGAGAGGCAATTGAAGCGTTTAGGGTTCATTCATAACATTATATTTCATCTCTATCTATTCACCAATATGGATACTGACTGCTTAAGTCATCTGATTTGATATTATGATGAAAATATATATATTATTTCTTAATGGTCGGAGATGTTCAAGCTAGTTTACGTGTATCTCAACTAATCTTTCGGGACCTTGGATCTATCAGTTGAGTAAGAGTTCTGGTAACTACCCTTATTAGTAACTGAGGAAGGACTCAGAACCTCTTGAATAATATATCCAAGAGTCCCTATCGAAACACTCAACCACCCAAAAATAGTTGTGGAAAATAAAAATAAAATTCAAAGAAATGGTGATGTTATATGTAATTAAATTGATTAGGTTTATATACACTATTTTTATATTAAAAATTTTGGGTCTCAACTATATATTTTTAATAATCGATGAATGATATCACACAATCTTACCAGTATTTTTTGTGGTTTTCTGATGCAAAATGTGGTTGATCAAATGAATTATAAAGTTATTCGATAAGTAATGTACGTATTGCAATTTCTAACTCTCTCTATATGGTAACAAAATCTAGAAATATAATCAATCTTTAAGTGACCCAGTGGTTCGATAGGGACTCTTAGGTATATTATTTAAGAGGTATTGAGTTTGAATCTCTCATCGGTCACTAATAAAGGTGGCTACTAGAGTTTTTATCCGGTCGATAGTTCCAGGGTCTTGAAGGATTAATCGAGGTACGTATAAACTAGTCTGAACATCTTCCATCTTAAAAAGAAAATATATATATATGGAGATATAACACAAATACACAATCACCATCCCACTTTTAGCATTTGAAACTGCAATTCAAATGACAACGAATAAACTTAACAAAAACAAATATATCTTCTACACCAAACCACAGTAAGGTGCTCCCCTTTCTTTCATCATGACCTCAACCCACCACCATTAAAGCTTTGAAAAGTCTCAGAAATGGGCAGCTCTGGAAGCAGAAGAAGGAAGGCCTCAACGTATTTAATAACTTTGAAATCTATGTCTATCTTATCCTCATCCACATGGATATGGTATTAATTGGTTGAACATGACATCTCATCGACATGCCTTTGATTGTCAGCTTTCATACATCAAAACCTGTAAATTTATTGATTTATGATATATTTATGTGAATTGTTTTGTTCGTATAATTTGGAATGGGATGTAGGTGGCTTGGATGGTTCCAGAAAATCAGGGCAGACTGATTGGGGGAAATTTTTTAAAAAGCCATATGAAGTTCAAATTTAATTAAAAGATCATATAATTTAAAAGTAAATAACCTTATTTTTTATTAAAGTTAATTAAAAATGATTAGGGGTTAATTAGGATTAATGAAGTATTGTGTAATCTTTTAAAAATTATAATGTCCCCAAAGAACCAAAATTCTTGCAAACAAACCCAAACACCTTCTTCTTCCTCCTCCCGCTACATTAACGGATCCCTCCCCTGGTTGTAAGCTTCGTCTAAATCTTCTTCTTCTTCTTTTGCATTTTTTTCTTCCTGAACATCTTCTTCTTCCTCCATCCTATACATCTTCTTCTTCCCGCCATTAACACTATCTTGTTCCTCCGCCATTAACATCTTCCTTGCCATAGATCCTCCTCCTCCTCCTCCTCCTCCTGACATTTCATCCAGGTATGTATCTCCTATTTCCATTTTCTATTTCGATTTACAAAGATTTAATGATGGATTGAGTTTGGGTTATGATTTTGATTTAGTTATTTAGGTTATTAGGGTTGTGTTTGATGTAATGAAAGTTGAAAGGAGTGAAATTTGTAGAATATTTTCTTGCATTGTGGGTAGCTGGGGGTGGTAGCACCGATTGTAGGTGGATATGACTGAAAATATGTTCTGGATATGATAGATCGCTTAAGCGAGCTGGTGTATCGCTTAAGTGATCTGATACGTCTGGTAATGTAGCAGCTAGATCGCTTAAGCGAGCTGGTGTATTGCTTTAGCGATCTGGTACGTCTGGTAGTGCAGCAGGTAGATCGCTTAAGTGATCCAGTAAATGATATATTAGATCGCTTAAGCGATACACCAGATCGGTTAAGCGATTGTGCAGATGCTTTTTAAAATATTTCAACCCTTAGTACATCAGTTAACAATATTTCTTTTCTTGCATTATAGGTACTTGGCTATTATTAGACATGGGACAAGTTGTTTTCGGTGTTGAATATTTTGGTGAGTGGGTGGAGGAAGAAAGTAGCTGGAAGTGGATTGGGAAGAGCAAAGAAGTTATACCAATTGTTGTGAGCACAAATGTTAGTTTTGATAAAATAATTAGAAGAGGTGATTTGAGTTGCTCACGTTGCGATATAGTCGTGAAGTATGTTTTAAGCAGAGTTCCTGAACATTATAAGGTACCTCCTGCTATATTAAAGTCGGATGAAAGTGTGAAGTTATATATGATTGATGTGGCCGATAATGGTTCGAGGCCGATTTTAAGGGTTTCTTTTGTAGATAAACCGTTGGAAGTTGGTTCAAAGGAAGGGGATAACAAGGAAGTTGGTGGAGATTTGCCTGGTTTTAATTTGAACTACGACGACATTAATTTGTTAGTTGAAAAATCAAGAGTAGGCGGTGAATTGGGTGGTGAGGAGGACACTGTAGAAGAGGTTGGTCATATGCGACAGAATGAAAATGTTGAGGAGGAGGACCTTGTATATGTTCCTGTAGATGTAGAGATTCCTTTAAATACAGATTATGCAGAAGGTATAGTTTTTGAGGAAGAGAACACTATGGTCGTTTATGCAGGTTCAAAGGGGGCAATTGCAAGTATTAGTGAATCAGCTCATGTTTTTACGGATGGATCGGAGTTGCGCATAGGGTATTTATTTGACAACAAAGAGGAAGTGGTGAGGAAGCTAAAACCTGTTGCCGTGAGAGGTAATTTTGAGTTCATCACCAAAAAGTCAAATTCATCGGTTGTGACGGTTGCATGTCGTGACCGAAAGTGCAAGTGGCAAGTTTATTGTAGAAGGTTGGCGGAGTCCGAAAAATTTATTCTTAGCACATATACCTGTGAGCACACATGTGGTTTGAGATATATTTCAGGTGAGCATCGACAAGCCTCCGCTGATGTTATTGGACAATTTGTCAAAAGTCAGTTCGTTGGAGGGAAAAGTTCATCTCCTAAAGACATTCAGAGACTTATGCGCATAGAGTTGGGATGTGCTATTAGTTACTGGAAATGCTGGAAAGGGAGATAACATGCACAAGATTTTGTGGGGGGCACGCAGGAGCACAGGTACATAGTATTAGAAGCATACCGTTATATGGTTGAGTTGACAAACCAAGGTAGTAAGATGACTTTGAAGTGGGACATGAATATGATGTTTAAATATTTTTTTGTTGCTTACGGTTCTGCTATAAGCGGTTTTGTAAACATGAGAAAGGTGTTGGCTATTGATAGTTGCTTTTTGACGGGAAAGTATGGAGGTACATTATTGGTGGCCACTGCACATGACAACGAGAATTACACATATCCTTTTGCATGGTGTGTGGTTGACTCTGAGAATGAAAAGTCGTGGACTTGATTTTTTCAGCAATTACTTACGATAGTGCATGACGGTGATGACTTGTGCATAATATCCGATAGACATAACTCTATAAAGAAAAGGATTGCCACTATTTACCCTCAAGCACATCACAGATTCTGTATGAGGCAGCTTGGTGAGAATATAAAACAAAAGTTTAAGTGTGCTGGCCTCCTTCAGACATACTATATGGCAACAAAAGCTTATCGGGTTGATGAGTTCGAAGAGCACTTCCATCAAATCCGAATCAAGGATGATAGAGTTGCTAAGTATCTTGAGCATGATGTTGGTTTCAAGCGATATAGTAGAGCTTATTTTCCTAGAAGAAGGTTTGATGTCATGACTATACACATAGCCGAGTCCATAAATAAGAAGTTGTTAATAGAAAGAGAGTTTCCAATAGTTGCACTTTTTGATGCAATCCAGAGGACATTGTCACGGTGGTTCCATTGTCGTACGAAGTCAGATAATTTTACTACAACCCTTGTTCCGTCAGCTGAAAAATTATTGCGAGTACGTATGGAACTATCAAATACACTGTTTACCTATCCTTTTAATGCTTAAGAGTTCACTGTGTGCGACTATGGTTCGGATGCCCTAGTTAACCTTGTTAGTAAAACTTGCAGTTGTAAAGTGCTTGACATTCAACGTTTACCTTGTCCTCATGCACTAGCAGCACTGAACCACCAACGGAAGTTGGATTTTGGTTCAAGAATTTACATGGAAGTTTGCTCCTCTCTCTATATGGCAAATCACTACATGCTAGCTTATTCAGAAACGATATATCCAGTTCCTCCAGAAGAGCAGTGGGTAGTGCCGCCAGAGTTGGTTGACATTATCATCCATCTGCCATTCAAGAAGACAGCAAAGGGGAGAAAAAGAGCTAAACATATTCCAGCAGCCTCTGAGGTTCCCCGGAAGATGAATAAATGCTCAATTTGCAAGCAATCTGGCCACAAGAGAAGCAGTTGCCAAAAGCAATCACATGGAGATCCAGAAAATTAGGTTCGAAGAAGGATGAAATCGAGAGAGTTGCCAAGGCCAACCGTTGATGAGTTATTGTTTTCAATTATTGATGTTTTAAACTTTATTATTACCTTGAATAAATCATCCTTTATATTTAGTATTCTTGTTACATAACCTAAATATGTGTTGGTGATTTTAGTTTGGAATTAGGTTTTCAAATTGAGGAGAAATTATGGAATTAATATGTGTTGGTAATTTTAGTTTGTCAAAATTCAAGAGAAAAGCTGGAAAAAAATATGTTTTGCCCATGATCGCTTAAGCGACTAGATATATCGCTTAAGTGACAAAATGTTTTTCATAAAGGATCGCTTAAGCGATATCATGAATCGCTTAGGCGATCGTGCACATGGGCAGATATTGATTCTGCCAAGCACATGATCGCTTAGGCGATTGTGCACCTGGGCAGATACTGACTGCTTAAGTCATCTGATTTGATATTATGATGAAAATATATATATTATTTCTTAATGATCGGGGATGTTCAGGCTAGCTTACGCAGACCTCAACTAATTTCTCGGGACCCTGGACCTATCGACCGAGTAAGAGTTCTAGTGGTTATCTCTATTAGCAATCAAAGAGGGACTCAGAATCTCTTGAATAATATATCAAAGAGTCCTTATCGAAATACTCAAGCACTCAGAGGTAGTTGTGGAAAATAAAAATAAAATTCAAAGAAATGATGATGTTATATGCAGTTAAATTGATTAGGTTTATATACACTATTTTTATATTAAAAAATTTGGGTCTCAACTATATATTTTTAATAAACGATGAATGATATCACACAATCTTACCAATATTTTTTATGGTTTTCTTATGCAAAATGTGGTTGATCAAATGAATTATAAAGTTATTCGATAAGTAATGTACGTATTGCAATTTCTAACTCTCTCTATATGGCAAAAAAATCTGGAAATATAATCAATCTTTAGGTGATTGAGTGGTTCGATAGGGACTCTTAAGTGTATTACTTAAGAGGTATTGAGTTCGAATATCTCTTCGGTCACTAATAAGGATGGCTACTAAAGTTTTTACCCGACTAGTAGTTTCAGGGTCTTAGGGGATTAATTGAGGTACACATAAACTAGTCTGGACATCTATCATCCTAAAAAGAAAAATAAAAATAAAAATATGAAAATATAACACAAATACACAATCACCATCCCACTTTTAGCATTTGAAAGTTGAAACTGCAACTCAAACGACAACGAATAAACGTGAAAAAACAAATATATCTTCTAAACCAAACCACAGTAAGGTGCTCCCCTTCCTCCATCATGATCTCAACCCACCACCATTAAAGCTTTGAAAAGTCTCTGAAATGGGCAGCTCTGGAAGCAGAAGAAGGCCGGCCTCAACGTATTTAATAACTTTGAAGTCTGTATCTATCTTATCCTCATCCGTATGGAAATGGCATTAATTGGTTGAACATGATATCTCATCGATCGACATGCCTTTGATTGTCAGCTTTCATACATCAAAACCTGTAAGTTTATTATGATATATTTATGTGATTTTTTTTTTTTTTTTTTAATGGGATGAAGGTGGCTTGGATGGGTCCAGAAAATCAGGGCAGGCTTATTGGTGGAGGCAGATAGTCATTTAATTTGGATGGGCTACTGGGGGCTTCAATCCATGACCCAAAACGTATACACGTATATAGAGCCGATGCACGACCCGACCCAAAAAAAACATAACACAAAAAAGAAAAAACACGGCATGATAAGGTACGGTACAAAAAAAAGCACGGCACGATATAAAAATATGCGAGCCGTGTTATGGGCCCATACGGCACGACACGAAAAAAATAAAATTATAAAATTAACAACTACTTTTTAAAATAGCTGTTACCCCCTGCACAGGGGTAACAACTATTTTAAACTGAAAATCGTATTACTAAAGCCATTATGTGTATGAAAGATTGAGTGACAATAGATTTCAAACTTCAAAATCGTGTTACTGAAGATATATTTGAACATTTTAAGAATTTAGAAATTAATGAAAATGAAGATGTATACTAATTCTTAATCTTAATTTCTAAGTTTGTATTTGTAATTTATAATTATAACTTATAAGTAATAAAAAATGTTGAAATTCAATTAATATTTTAATGTTTTATTATTTTATTATATTTTATAATCATATAAATACAAAGTGTTACTAAATATAACATATAAAATATTTTTATAATAATTATTAATAATAAATCAAACTTTATAAATATTAAAATAAAATATTTTTACAAATACATACATATTTGCTTACATCATACATATGTCATGATGACATGACATGACATATCATGTCAATGACCAGGCCTGGCAAGTCACAAATATATATTTGCTTCTGTTTACTTTGGGCTTGGGCCTTAAAACATAAAGGCCCAATTTTACATCAGTTTCTAGAAGAAGAACACCTACTTTAATACTTTAATTTACTTTCAAGTAATCCATCCTCATGCAATAATAGATCATATTATGGTATTAAACTATTAATAATATGACTAAACGACCTTTTCCCGCCCAAGGTTTGCCTTAATAACACTTTCCCTTTCAAAAAGTTTCAAAATACAAATTTCTCACCCAAAATTTATATTCTGTTAATATAAAAAATACGCTTCACTTTTTTAGCCAGCGTTCGTAGAGTTATTAGGAGCCAATATATGAGGGGTTTTGTAGAGTGGATGACAATAGATCGAATGGTGGTAACTAATTGAATATTGGCTGTCGGAATCAGTTGAAAATAAGCTAAGAACAGGAAACCTTAACTTTGCGGTGGTTGATAGTCGGTGAGAAATCAAGTGTCGGAGTGAGAAGGGTTTTGTATAGAATAGGCTAGAATCGGCTTTGGGTATTAACGAAATATAAACTTAGAGTGAAAAAATGGTATTTTAAAACTTTTTGGGTAGAAAAGAGTCATTAAGCCAAACTTTGGGTGGGAAAATGTTGGTTACTCTTATAATATAGTCAATAATTTAATTTTAAATAGAGAAATTTTGATTTATATATAATATTACGCCTGAAAAATAATAAGTAATATTGCATATTAGTTAAACAAATTTTTAAAGCATATAATTATATAATAATGTTACGACTAACTTACCACTATTATTCAAATGATTTTGATTCAAAACTTAGATATATAAATAATAATTAATTATAAATCAAAAAGAAAAAAATATGAGATTTGGGCACGCAAACTCTCCACTCGTCAGCGTCTTTACAGGAGATAATGCCCTGCAACAACAATTAAGAAAGCCACTGACACTGTCTCTCTTCTTTTTTCGGTCTCAATCTCAATCTCTGTGCTGTATTCGTTTTCTCGAGACCCAGTGATAGCCTTCGTGAAGTTGTGTATTGATGGAGAATCAACGAAATAAAGCTTGCCCTTATTGAGTTCAAAGAAGCAAAGGTAAAGAGAATCGAAAGCGAAGATGCGGAGAGAGATCTCGCTTTTGGTTCAGCCACGAAGTCTTCTCGTTTTGTTACTCATCTTTATTTTCCTCGTTTACGCTTTCACGATCCATAACAAACCGGTGCGTTTTATTTGTTTGTGTATTTTGTGTTGGATCTAATTGTTAATTTTATTGCGGAAAATGATGATCTGGGTTTTGAATAATGAAATATTACTCAAATGGGGTTAAAGGGTTTTTATTTTATTTTTGATTCTTTGTTAAGAGTGCCAATGTGGGTTTTCTTTTGAATTGGGTTTTAATTTTCTTTTTACTGTTGTTTGATTTTGAATTTCGATGTGAGATCACTGGTGAAGATAACGAAGTTTACTGTTATTTAGAGCTAATTTTTTTTTTTTTTTCCATTGTTAGGGTTCGTTGTTAGACTATTGCCTGATCTTTTTATAACTTTAAATTGTTTATAGTTTCATGGTGGTTGTCACTTGCTCTCTTATAATTCTGTGAAGAATGTGATCAGAGGTTTCTTCATGTTATTTGTGTTTTAATTTTAGCTCTGTAAGTACCGTTACTGGTTCTGTTCAGTGAATAGCTTGATAGAGGGTATGAGTAGAGGAGTAACGTTTATTTTGGTGATTTAGAAGTGGTAGGAAAAATTTGTCTTTGAATTTTGATGACTATTGCGGTATGCATTAGTGGCTGTTTTACTACATGTAAAGTGAATGGTTTGTCAATCAATAGTTTGACCTTCAATTTGGAGAGCAATGCACCCACCATTAAAATATTGGTTATGGTAGGGTTGTTTTTTGCATTGCTCTAAGCTATGGAGATATAGAATCCGAAGTGGGAAATGTTTTGTTCATTGAGTCATGAAAGTGCTTTTAAGTTGTGGTATACTTTTCATTACTACAAGATCATTTCCCTAATACTGTTTTAAATGTTAGTTAATTGTCTTGTCTTGGACTCAATTTTTGTTCTATTCCTTTTAAACTGATTCTTAGGAGGAGGAGAAGGTGGAAGAGTTGTATGAAATTACGCATAGAGTATACTTGGATGTTGATATTGATGAACAACGATTAGGTACTGCTTTCTCATCCACAGTGCTGTATGACAGTGATATGACTGCAAAAATTTTTATCTTTTAATTAAAGAGTAATAGCAATTACTGAAGTAATGCCATATTGATATTAATCCACACATTAAGCTTTTAGATAGATTCTATTATATGACAGTGTTGTAGTAATTAATTGCGTCTTTTTCTGCATTTCTCATCTTATTAACTTCCAGTTCTGTTCTGGATTTTGCAGGTAGAATTGTTATTGGATTGTATGGCCAGGTTGTTCCAAAAACTGTTGGTATGTATTCAGTCTGCTGTGTTAATACTTTCATATCACGGTTTTGGAAGCTTAATTTGTCTAAACCAGGAGAATGCTCAATTTGCCTAATTTGTGGTTCAGTANTGCTTGCTTCGTAATACACCAAGTGAGCAATATATCTTTTATTTCAAATACTAGTACATTGGTGAACCCTCCATGGTGCTTTTGAGAGGGTCAACAAAATTAATGCTCCTTAATGAACAAAATCTAATACAAAACAAAACAAAATTACAGGGGATATCATTGAGCAACAGCCAATCAATCCTATTTTCCATTGCGAATCATTTATGTCATTGGTTACCAGATCCTGCCAACGATTTCTTCGACTTCCTGTTCCCGTAAATCTTGGTATAGATTTTCTTGGTTCTTACTGAAAGTACAATGTCCAAACAAAATCCAACAAGGCATGCTATTGACATGATGATAAACACAAGCCCATAACAATGGGCTCCCACACAAGTGTTGCCGCCTCCCGGAGTTGGAGTAGCTTGAGCGTCGTATAGATATCCAGCAAGCAGGCCGGAGAAGAGGAAGGAACCGAGGGGAAGGTTGAGGACTAAAATGTTGTAGATTAGACCATAATATTTGAGACCAAATAGTTCAGAGGCAGTGGGGACTGTTATAGCTAGACGGACTCCATAGCATATCCCGACCACAATGGATCCAATGTACAGAGAACCAGGCACAGCTAATGCCATGAGAATGTAGCCAACCGCCATTATAATCTGAGAAGCTGCATTCCAAAGAGGTCTTGGGGTTCCAGCTTTCCTGCAAAACATGGTGAGCATTAGCAAAATGATTTTTAAATACGTTCAAGAATCTCTCAACATCAGAATGGTAGCAATCAATCGGGGATGTATCAGGCCTACCTAACATATGACAGGAGAATGGCTTAAAGCATATCTATTGACAATGAAGAAATGACATTATGTCATTTTCAGCTGATTACTTAACCCACTTGCAACCCTTTTAATCTTTCTTATATCATATTCATGACTCGAAAGCATTATTGTCGAAGAACAACAGTGGTCCATGAGTTCATCTATAGCAAAAATCTACACGGTCACTTAACCAACAAAAAGTTTCTTATTCTAGTAATTGAAAAATGATTTTCCTGAATCAGAAGACTATTGAATTTATACTCAACCACAATCAAGTACTTGAGAAGGTTTCGTGAGTGTTCGATGAAATCACAAACCATAAAAGCAACAAAATGTGAGAAGGAAGAACCCATGTATCAATTGGCTGAACAAGACCAAGGATGAAAGAATACAGCTAACTTATCTATCAGAAATGGACCGCCCTGAATAGACTTCGTCAATGCCTCTACCCCACCAAAAACTTTGCTTTCAGAAGCTATAAATTGATTATGTAGAAACAAAGAAAAAGCAACACCTTATTATTGACTTTCCATACCGATGAAAAGGAATGTGTGCAAGCGACTATAAACAGTTACTTCAAAGCTGAAAACAAAAATCAGATGCAATATCAATACAGAGATTGAATTTGAGTATTTGACCTCAAAACTGGGGTCACACCTACCAATACAACTTCCCCCACATACCCTATTACAACTACCAATGCAAACCGTTCAACATTTCATTCTGAAATGTAGCGTAAAAGTCATAAATCTTCAGGGAATTAGTGTAAAATGAAGGGTCCAAATGGGCAGATCTTATTCTATTCATTCAACTCTTCCAGTAAAAAGGAAACAAAGACCTTAGACTACTAATGAAATGAAAGGATGCTTAATCGAGAAGAAAACTATAAAGACTATTTAACAATCAGTCAATTCCTTGATATATCTCACACGGTTTGAATATTTTCCCATGATAAATTATATGTGAAACCAGGTCAAAAGCAAAGTCATGCAAACAGGACAAGCTAAAAACGACATCGTAACAGCAAATTACCAATTAAAAAACATAATAAAAAGGCAACAGCCAATAAGGTGTAACTAATTATAATTAAGTGATGGCTTAAACTTACTTAATAAAGTACTCTGACACGGAGCCCGAAATAATCCGCCCGAAAAATCCCCAAATACTGGTCAAGGAAACAAAGATTGAAACGTCGGCGTATCCAAGAGCCAACCCAATCTGCCCCATGTTGTTCATCACCGCCAACCCTGTCCCCACCCCACACAAAAAAGACACGAACAAGATCCAAAAATCAACGGTTTTCAACGCCTCAGATATCGTGTGCTCCTCCCCTAAATTCGGTCTCCTCTTAACCTCCACCATGGCCACAGCCGACTCCTCCGCCGCCTCCTCCTCCTTCTTATTCTCCGCAGCGGTTTCCTCGCTCGCTAATAATGGCTCAACGACCTGTTCTTCCACGTCCGGTTCGGTTTTCAACAGTCTCAAATTCCAGCTCTTTATGTAAGAGTAAACCGGGATGGCTAACGGAGATGCTAGCAGAACTATTAAAATAGTCGAGAAAGTCAACGAAAAAGCTTTACTTTTGTTCGGGAAAAAATCGTAACCGAGTAAATAAAGCGCAACAACAACTGCTACAACGTTGAATACATTAAAGTACTTGGTTTCTTCTTCCTCCTCCGCCGCGGTAGCCGCCGGGGGAGTCTCGCGCAGGAAGAATACTGCAATGAGACAAACGGCCAACGGGACAGTCGCGAGCATGATAAGAAACGAGGAAGAGTTATCGTTAAAAAGCGCTGTACAAAGGTCGGTGAAAATCGCCGTACTGAGGCCCACATAACCTTTTAAAATACCAGAAACAGGCCCACGGTTCCGCCTAAAATTCCGTATACAGGTCACGAGGACGGCGGTGTTCATCCACGTGGTACTGTTGCCACCCATGCAGAGAAATATACACATCTGCCAGTAAGCTAAAGGTTTTACTTTTTCACTGACGACGAGCCATTGCGCGCCGTAACCGACCAGGCCTTCGATGGAGCCTATGAGGAGAATGACAGGGGTCGGGATGCGGTCTGAGGCGAGGCCGGCGAGGAGACCGAAGGCTTTTCCGACGTCTTTAGCGACGGACAAGTTGTTGAGCTGAAGCTGTGTGAGGTTCATTAGGGTTTTAAGAGCGTCTGAGTAGTTAGAGAATGTGTAATTGTTGCCGGAGATGGCCTGGACCCAAACGGCCGTTACTAAGGCCAGCCATTTGGCGGCGGTGGCGGTGTACGAAGCGTCAAAACCCATCAACTATTAATTTTAAAGAAGAAAAGAAGAGTGAAGCAAGTGGCGAGCATTGAAGCTTGCAGAGCGCTGTATTTAAAGTAACGAGAATGTGGTATTGTTGCTGTAGATGGTAAAGCGACACGAACGGCTACGTTTTGGTGCAGTTATTTAAATGTGGAAACTTTAGAATGTTACTGTGCAGTAATTTGGAATTTTAATCGCAATTTGAGATGCAAGTTGTGAAAGTTTGGGACCCATTAAACTGTCGACTGAGATTAAAACTGATAACGACAAATTAAATAATTGACATGTGTCCAAGTAGAAGATATGACATTTATTTTACAAATTGTAAATATTAGTTTTTAGTAATTAAATTATTTACAAAAACCAACTGAAAAATATTTTTTCAAAAAAAGAAAAGAAAAAATAAAGCAATTGTATATTCAGAAAGGTTGTAACAAACTGGTGAGGTGGCGACAAACAAAGTCTCCTTCTGGGTTCTGGCACGTCAGGGTGACGGCGAAGTAGGTTGTTACAGTGTTGCAGTATAGTCAAGCGTACGGGAGACCGTGGTGTGTCGTGTGTGGCGGTGAAGAGAGTTTCTACTTCTAGATGGTGTCTCAATCGACTACCGTTCGATTATAAATCCAGTAGAGCTCATGATCTAATACAGTAGTACTTTACAGCCGTTGGTTGTCAGCACACAGTTTTTGACATTACGCTTAAGGTATTGATTATATTGTACATCACTACATGGGAAGATTGGATTAGATCAATCTAATCCAATTGCACAGTAGGGTACATAAATTAACCAAAATGGAGGGGTTGAAATAATTAACCATCTTTGTAGAATTATAAATTAACCAAAAATGGGGGGTTGAAATAATTAACCATCTTTGTAGAATTTAAAACCGTTAAAGAACAACTCTAGTATAACCTCTTTGTAGTTTAATATTGTAATTAATTAAATTATTATTACGAAGAGATTATAACTTTTAAAGGTATAGTTATAAAAATTATTTTTATTAAAAAATTATTTTTTATTAAAAAATTATTGTTTTAATTTTTTATTTTATAATTTGTTGATGCTCGTTTTTGGCACCAACTAATTGTCACAGCGTAACGCTGGTTGGAGGATAAAAACACGGGATAATGAATTCAGAAAGTGAAATAAATGCAAAGAGAGTTTTTAAGTGGTTCGGATGTAAGGTAGCAAGTCCTACGTTCATGGTTTGTTTGATATTAGTGTGGGTCAGGTCGCAACAGCGGACTGACTTACAAAAGAGTTGGAAAGAGTAAATGTGTTTACAGGAGAGAGAGAGAGTTTTTCAATGTAAAAAATGGTCGAATCCCTTAATGAAGGGGTCATCTTCATTTATATCAAACTGAAGCGTGTAACATCATTAAATCCATGGGTTGGTGTGATTGTCAGGATATAATTCGGCTTTATGTCCATTGCTCTCTTCCAAGCTGACTTCGCCGATTTATTACAGGGAAATGGACGCGTGTGAGTCCCTATCATTTGACGGGCCTGACGTGGTGTGTTGCTCTGACGGGAGCAGGTCACCCTTCACGTGACTTTCCCACGTCAGCCCTTATTTTCTCAGGCATAACAGAACCCCTAGTTTTTAAGGTTTGAGGATCGAACCTTGGAAACTAAGTGCATGGGAGGTTTTGGTCGCTCCGACTGAATGGGATGAGTCGGCGCAGGACTCTTGGCGAACACGATCTCGCGTAATTCCTTGCGTAAGCGACCTGACAATCTCATCCTAGCGACCTGGATTGATGGACGCTCCTTCTGTACCTTAGAGATTCAATGAACTGGTTCTGCGCTGTCAGGCGCTCTGCACGCGTTAAAGCGTTTGTCAGACACATTAAATGCATCGTGTGCTGACCCGACGCCATTTTGACAGCATAGTTTGCAGCGCATTCGAAACGACGACTCTATCACGGCATTTAATGCGACGTGGGGCGCAATTAATGCAGGTAGAGAGAGTGGGCTGTCGTTTCGGTCCGGGGGTGGTAACCATCGATTCACAATCCATATAAAAAATCGCGTTTTCAGATGAGGTCACCAAAATTTCTCTGTTTCGAGTGACAAACCTTTGCAAACCAGAAAACCATTCTTTTCCGATCGGCGCTTCTCAGGCAACTGAAACGAGTTTCGGTCTCGGTTACTCATCCAGAAGGTAAGATTCTTCTTCTTCTTTTTCTTTGCATTTGCTTGGTTAGGCGATGGCATTGGGTCTCCCTGGTGTTTCACCAGAGGCGTGACGCCGTCATTGGATTCGAGCCGTGGACGGCGGCTCAGTTACTTTAGGGTTTAAGAATTGTCCCCTGCCGCCGCACGGGGCAAAACACGAAGGCCTAAATGACCGTGTTGTCGATGTTGCAGATGGAATGGAACGCCACAATCCAGACACGAGGAAGGAGCCAGCTCGTCCTCGCAGGAAGTTCCGGGACGCGTCCCTTGATGTCTTCTCGGTCCCACCCCAGAGGAAATCGATAGGATAAAAAGGCAGTTTGAGCCGCGCGGAGGTGTGTCCTCGACCATACCAGGTCGTCACGGCGCCCTGCCGATGGCCTGCCGTGATCTCTGAAGAGATCTTCAAGGGTGGAGGGAGGATTCCCCTCCATCCTTTCATCAGGTCGGTCCTGGATCACTTCGGGATCACGCCGATGCAGCTGACGCCAAACGCGGTACATCATCGCTGTCGCGATGTACATCGCGTGCTGCGAAAGCGACTGGGCGAGCTAACGGCAGTGGAGCTGGCATCGCCTATATCTCAAAAAGAGCAAGGACAAGGACTCAACTATTTGTCTCGGGCACCTACCATTGCCGCGGGGATACACAGCTATCCCAGCAATGCGGGGGCCTACGAGACAAAGTTCTTCTTCTTTTGCATGACGGCTACTTCGCTTTCAGGATCTAGGTAGGTTTTTTTTCGCTGGGTTTTATCTGCTCGCATGATCATAGAACGACCTGTTTTCTTTTGCAGTTAAAAGAACGACCAGCCAAAACTTACTTGCTGACCCAAATAGACTCGTATCCTTTGGAGTACTGAGAGAGGAGAGCCGGCGGGAGGAAGCTTGTGACGACCGCAAACTTGCAAAAGTACGGTTTTTTCAGCGACAAGCGTCTTTAGAAACCCCAGAAGGTAAGTTATACTGGTTCCCTTCTGGTTGCGGGACAATTCTGTTTACTAACTAACTTAAAAGCAGAAACTATGCCCCCAAAGGAGTCCGAGCAGCCCCGCCGAGCACCATTCGTCTTCCTCGATCAAGGAGAGAGAGGGCGGGCGAAGCTGGTCCTATCCCGGCACAGCCGGTGCGAACAATCGCGCCTCCTAGCCCCGTCTTGTGCAAGAAGCGACCAGGATGGAACAGGCCGCTTAGGCCAACTGCTCGCCCAAAGCGGAAGGCTCCGGCCCAGAGGTCGAAGAAGAGGAAGCAGATTCCGCCCGAAGAGTCGGAGACCGAATCTGAGGAACAGCCTCTGAGGTGCGCCAGGAATCCAGGAGGTCGGGCAAGGAGCCCGTGAGCGAGGCGGTCGCTGCCGGTAAGGCGAGGACGACACGTGCTAGACTCATTGGGGAGTCTGCCCGAGTACCTGTAGCCGATAGTCTATGGCCTGCTCGAGTGCGAGCTCTCAGAGTCATACGATGAATTTGGACACGGGGTACGACCTGATGACCACGTCGTTCCAGCATTGAGCAAGGTAAATGAGCTGTACTTGAAACTCCATTCTGATTTATTTCTAACTTATATCTTGCTCGCAGGCGTTGCTTTCGATGAGGATGTCCATGGAAAAGACGCGGCTGGGGGCCGCCAAGGGGACAAGCGACCTGAAGGAAGAGGGCGCAAAGCTGAAGCAGAGCTTGGAGTCCGTTGAAGCGGAAAGAACTCAAGCGTTCGAAGCGGCGAACAGGTATCTGAACCAAAAGGACGTTGCTTTACTAACCGTGGACTTCCAGAAAACGGAGCTCGATCGACGTGCGGAGGAAGTCAAGGAACTTCAAAGGACAACCGCCAGGCTCTCTAAGGAGGTCGGAGACAAGGACCAGGAGATCCAGGAGACCTTCGCACGGGCTCAGCGAGCTGAAGAAGATAGGGAGGCCTCCGAACAGGAAAGGCTAGCTCTGAGGCCGAGCTCTAGGAGAGTCGGGAGAGAATCGCTTCTCTGACTGAAGAAAGCAGAATCAGTCGAGGAGGATGGAGGAGAAGGCCGCGGACTAGGCAACGGTTCCATCTACACCTGCCAGCAAAGAACCGGATTTGGACTTGTCCGACCTCCCGGAGGGTTGGCAGGCGACCTTGCGGATCATGGCCGAGGAGGACGACCAGAATGCTGCGGCCACTCAGGGACCCGACCAGGCAGGGGTGGTCTGGCTCGAAGGATCCCCCCGACCAGCCTTAGAGTAATGAGTTGTCCCCATTGTAATCGGGTCTTTTGACTTTTACATAAATGAAGATACTTTTTCTTTACAATGCAGTTCGCTTTTCATATATATGTACACTTTACAATTAATTCAATATGTGATTACATGTAAACTTTACATGCGAACAGAACACATGCAAACTGTGTTTGAGCGAACAAAGTAATACTTAAAAAAGAAATAAAAAAACTGAGAGCTGAGTTCGGGATTACTGATAGTATGGCCGGAGGTGCTCGGCATTCCAAGCTCGGGGTACTTTGGAGCCGTTCAATCTTTTGAGATGGTAGGTCCCCGGTCTGATCACTTTGTCAACCGGTACGGACCTTCCGGTTAGGTCCTAGTACCCCGCACTTGGCTCTCTGGTCCCGAGGAGAACTTCCTTTAGCACAAGGTCTCCGACCTGGAAGTCTCTTCGCTTGACCTTTGAGTCGAAGAACCTTTTTGCTCGCTGCTGTAGGCTGCTATCCTAGCGAAGCCTTGTTGCGATGCTCTTCGACCAAATCCAAACTTGCTCTCATAAGTGCTTCGTTTTCGTCCTCATTGTACAGGTCCCTCCGAAAGAGAACCGGTCCCGACCTCTATAGG